ATATTGTTGACCGCAACCCGATTTTTTATTACTACGATTTTTTTTTTTTTTGGGGGGGGGGGGGCTGATATGCACGATACTATATATGGGATGGCATTGCAATATTTGTAATGTACACAAAACGGATATATGCCACAGTTTCAACCTTCATTTTGGATAGAGTAGGTGGATATCACCGAGCAAGGGGCGATATAAAGGATGGGACTTTTAACGATTTAACGCCAAAACTTTCTGCTTTATTCTCTGTGTGTGCATGTGCTTGTGTGTGCGTGTGTGTGCTTGTATGTGTGTAATTGGTTTGAGGCTGTGTGTATTATCAGAGAAATGGGTCAGTATACTTATATAGTCTGCTGCTCCTCTGTACTTTTCACACAAAACCAAGCGAAATAATATTCTTTTTTACATTTCTGTAATTCATTTTCATTTATTCTTCCAAAATGATATGAAACATATTGAATGGCACTGACTCTAATCCATCTGCATTTTGTTAGCTGAAATTTCAAACTGTCATTAATAGTTCATAATATATCTTCGTGGGTTTCAATCATTTATAAAGTTTTCTCTTTAAGTTGAAGGCACTTTATGGCAGGATTAGATAGCTTTTTTCATGGCAACGATCATATAGACTCCACTTGAATTGGTAAGATGGCCGCCCGTCGTCTCTTCCCCTTCATACCACGATATCTCATCTAACCCAGCAAATTTCAGAGACCGGATGTACTCTTCCTTCTCCAAACTTCGTGCAGAAAAATGAACATCTCCCACAATATAGGCGCTCTGCCGCAGACTGTTCACAATGATGAGATGGCCACCATCTTTGAGCAGTGACGTCACATTTCTGATGACGCGAAAATGTGACGCAGCCTCGAGACAGAATATATTGGTGACGCAATCGAAAGGTTTGCTCAACACCGGGTGAAGTGGATTGGGGTTTATGACGTCACACGGGTACATGGTGCTCATTTTGTTGCGGAAACTTTCCTTCAGAGCCATCCAATTTTCCCTAAAGTAACAACAATCATATCAGTAATTTGCATCATAAATAAACCCACGTGATGTAAAATAATGTCTTTTTTCCTTATTAGAAAACTATAGACCTACTTAACTTTTTCTCGACATTACATACATGCATTTCTATAGTATCGTAGATCTATGTGTACAAAAAACTGCGACTGAATATGTTTTGTCAGCAAGAGGCATGATGTACCAACCTGTTTTACAGTGGAAAGCGAATTTTTTGTCTCCTCTCTTAAAGTAAAAACTGGTTTCCGAAATACTGTTTTAACAAACTTAAAGGTTTGTAAATGTCTCAAAAATATACTTTTTGTTTTACAATTCCCTTTATCTTTCTCAATCCAGACCTTAGAAATAATAAATTCCCTCAAATTAAAGCACAAAAGACCGATTCCTTCTTCTAATTGTCTGCCTTTAAGAACTAGCTAAAATCATTCAACTAGAAATGGTATAAGACACCAAAGTGTGTGAAAATTTCGAGCAACGAATCACTAAGAGCAGATTTTTTAAATGAATTTGGGTCGTCAGTCCCGGAAAGAATATTTATAGAGCAAAAGTTAATAAACACTCACTCTTCTCCTTCTAAAGCGGCCACACATTTGAAGGTTGAATCCCAGTCAAACGCCCCTGCCTCGCCATCTCTCCATTTTCTCATTGCCTCTCTGTTCTTCTCTGTGAGGTCACTGAACGCTAGCTCGTTAAAATACTTGGAAAGTATGACATGGTGCGCAATAGTTGGACCACTGCCTAAATCCAACAGTCTAGCTCCGCCTATTCTCCCTGACGAATATATGAATAAATAGATACATTATCAGATTGTTTTGTGAGTATTATCTCTTAGTTGTGATTGGAGTATGGCAAACAAGTGACCCAAAATTTGAGTGTTGCTTTCTGCACTACACAATTACTAAACTGAGACTATCTCACATAATATGAATTTTAAGAGTTGTTTTAGATAGGTACACCGAATTAATCACCTTGAATTAAACCCAAGTCCCTCTCCTATTTCCACTCCCTACATCAGCTGCAGCAAACGTTCCCTAGTTTGCACATCTTGGATATAGAAGCTGGAAGGGGATTAATGGTTTGTAAAGACCATTAATTCGATGAATCCATGCTTCTAAATCTCTCTTTTTTCGTGAAATGATGCAAAATATTCTCAGTGACATAACTGCACACTGTGCAACAGAAAAAAAGGCATGCGGGGAGACTAAAACATATTGGTGTATGCCGGTATTTTTCACAACTGTTTCGTGCACAAATGATGGTATATTACCTGTCGAATCCTGATTACCTGTTTCTTACATAGTGCAGGCATAACACCCCTGATCGATTTACAGATATATATATATATCTATATATATATATGCTTATTATAAAATGGTGGGTTTCCGGTAATCTCTGAACTCGCTGGTACTCAGGGTGAATTATTTATTTATTTATTTATTTATTTAAACACCTCTGTAAGATTAATAAAATTACAAAAAGACGAATTGAGTAAATTAGATAAAATGAGATGGGATTAAATAGAAATTACAGAGACTGTAAAAGAAAAGTAACTAAAAAGCTTTTAAAAGTAGTCCCACAATATACATGTGTATTCTTCAGATTGTCTGTTCTGCTACTGGGACTATTCACTTAAAGTCTCAGTGTGCATCAAAAATGAACTAGACTAGACAGCAATTTTGGTAACGGTAAATATTGGATAGTGGCATTTTTTCAATTTGTTTTAATATCCCGCTATAAAGAGTGAAACAACGCGTTGAAGAAGTGTAGGCGCTGCTGAGATTTCCAAATATTTCTTTTTACTTCTGATATTTAGCGTGAATTTGAATAATTTCTAGTCGCAGTCGGCAGTTTTTTTTTTCTAGGATTGCTAGAAGGCTTTCTAACCCTATATGTAGGTATAGGCCTATGCCTTAGTGTCTGTCTCTTTTATGTACGTATTTCTGTGCGAGATTCGTCAAGTACTGGAGCCCTAAGAAAATACAGGCCCGTATCCAGCAAATTCAAAAGGGGGGTTCTTTTTCTGAAAAAGTGACCCTTGTACAATGAAATATTTGTGTACCTAGATCAGATTTTACCAAAAATGGACCTTTTCCTGACAAAAAGGGTGGTTCTTTCGAACCCCCCTCCCCCCCCCTCCCCTGGCTACGAGCCTGAGGTAAATTATCAGTATTCGACTACACAAGTTCACTTCACTTCAATTTTTGCCCATTTCTTTATATCTGCTTGCTTTTATTATCATTTTGATTCGCCGCAAAATTATACCTGTAAGATAGCTAATGATATGACAGCTATATAAGCTTAGCAAAATTATAGACTTCTTGCAAGCTGCTGGAGTACCCTATCTGCTTGGTGAATGGGGTACTGATTAAGATGCTCTTGCACATTTGCAGCAAAACTTAAACAACAATTTTCCCTTGCAAAAACCTGCAAACAATTTTTTCTTTGCATACTGCTTAGTTTGCAGCAAATTTACAGTAGATTTGCTGCAAACTTTTCATTTTGCTTAAGGTAGCCAGATCATTCTTTGATATTACATAGATGAAATATAATATTACCAGATCTCAGGACGTGAGCAAGAGTATTCCGCGCAAATGTCGCTGATGGACGCTCCTCAACATAGTAATTCTTCAGAAATAATTCCGTATCAAACAGGTCGTGATATCTGTCTCCAGACACCGCCTCGGCTGTTGCTGCCTGAACGTTCATTTTTCTACCCTTTTTCACTGGAGTGTACCTTGACTTGGATTACCAGTATGAGAGATAATTATTAATAGTTTTCCTCTGCCAGAGGGCGAGATGTAGGCCCTACTCTTAAAAAAGGTATCCTGCGGGTACATGTACCAGCAACTAAGGCCTCATTCTCTTTGAAACTATCGGTCTACGTAGATCGATCCAACTCCTCAGGGACTTTCGCTGAATGCAATCAGTTTAACAGAATAACACGCAGCGTATGAATTTGTTTCTGCATATGCTCAAAACATTTTATCTCGCTCTTGGTGAGCGAACAAGTTTTGCCTGTCTATTCGAATCCCTTGCGTATGAGCAATTTTTCTCATGCATTAGGTGCGTCAGTACCTTGAGGTACTTCTGTGATGTCGGAAAGAGATTTATCCGCCAATATCTGGCCCTTCACAAAGCAGAGCAGGTTAATTAATAAGCTAAATAGTTCAAATTTCAAACGCTTCGTTGAACTAGGTCACATGACATGTTTAAGAGTATAATTTCCACTTAATATCAATTTAAGGTGACTTTATGGCATCGAGATGACCCTTTCTTTATGGCATGTTTTATATTAATACATTTTGAAGAAATTAATAAATAAGTAAATGTCTTGCAAGAAAATAAAAAAGCACATTTCTACGTGTTCCTTTCATTTGCATACGCTGTCTCGCTTTTGACAAATCGGCTACAATTCTCTCAAAACACCTTTACCCCCTCCACATAATTCAATCTCTGAAAAAAATTCACACTAATATCCCCCTGTTGAATAATTTTGACTGGGTGAATCATAGTAAGTTCTAAACCGTACCACATGGCACTGTTTTCGCTCCAAAAACACCCAAAAATTCGAGACCCTCTAGTTGCCACCGCGAACCCCATGCCAAGGGCGGCGAGGGTTGGCTTCGTATTCGAGCACGCTCGGCTGTCACCTTGATTGGATAGTAAACGATTGTCGTAAAATCGCTAAATGATATTAAAACCAATCGTTTACTATCCAATCAAGGTGACAGCCGAGCGTGTATTCGAGGTATGTCATTCCTAAAAAGCTGCCCCCCTCATTGAAGTCTTGAAGTATAATATTGCCACCCAAACTCACTTATTTTGGATAGAGTTTATTCTTCCAAAATGATATGAAACATATTGAATGGCACTGACTCTAATCCATCTGCATTTTGTTAGTTGAAATTTCAAACTGTCATTAATATATAGTTCATAATATTTCTTCGTGGGTTTCAATCATTTATAAAGTTTTCTCTTTAAGCTGAAGGGACCTTTAAGCAGGCTTCAAAAATTGGAGGATTAGGCGGGTTTTTCTTGGCAACGATCACATAGACTCCACTTGAATTGGAAAGATGGTCGCCCGCCGACTCTTCCCCTTCATACCACGATATCTCATCTAACCCAGCAGATTTCAGAGACCGGATGTACTCTTCCTTCTCCAAACTCCGTGAAGAAAAATGAACATCTCCCACAATATAGGCACTCTGCCGCAGACTGTTCACAATGATGAGATGGCCACCATCTTTGAGCAGTGACGTCACATTTCTGATGACGCGATCAAATGTGACGTCATCCGAGCACGCAGCCTCGAGACAGAACGTACTGGTGACGCAATCGAAAGGTTTGCTCAACACCGGGTGAAGTGGATTGGGGTTTCTGAGGTCACACGGGTATATGGTGCGCATTTTGTTGCGGAAACTTTCCTTCAGAGCCATCCAATTTTCCCTAAAGTAACAATAATCATATCAGTAATTTGCATCATAAATAAACCCACGTGATGTAAAATAATGTCTTTTTTCCTTATTAGAAAACTATAGACCTACTTAACTTTTTCTTGACATTCCATACATACATTTCAATGGTATCGTAGATCTATGTGAGCAAAAAGCAGCCACTGAATATGTCTTGTCAGCAAGAGGCATGATGTACCGACCTGTTTTATAATGGAAAGCGAAACTTTTGTCTCCTCTCTTAAAGTAAAAACTGGTTTCCGAAATACTGTTTAAACAGGTTTGTAAATGTCTCAAAGTTATACTTTTTGTTTTAAAATTCCCTTTATCTTTCTCAATCCAGACCTTAGACATAATAAATTCCCTCAAATTAAAGTACCTGACATCGATTCCTTCTTCTAATTGTCTGCCTTTAAGACCTAGCTAAAATCATTTAACTAGAAATGGTATAAAACACCAAAGTGTGTGAAGATTTAGAGCAACGAATCACTAAGAGCAGATTTTTTTAATGAGTTTGGGTCATCAGTCCCGGAAAGAATATTTATAGAGCAAAAGTTAAACACTCACTCTTCTCCTTCTAAAGCGGCCACACATTTGAAGGTTGAATCCCAGTCAAACGCCCCTGCCTCACCATCTCTCCATTTCCTCAGTGCCTCTCTGTTCTTCTCTGTGAGGTCACTGAACGCTAGCTCGTTAAAATACTTGGAAAGTATGACATGGTGCGCAATAGTTGGACCACTGCCTAAATCCAGTAGCCTCGTCCCGTTTATTCTCCCTGGCGAATATATGAATAAATAGATACATTATCAGATTGTTTTGTGAGTATTATCTCTTAGCTGTGATTGGAGTATGGCAAACAAGTGACCCAAAATTTGAGTGTTGATTTCTGCACTACACAATTACTAAACTGAGACTATCTCACATAATATGCATTTTAAGGGTTGGTTTAGAAGATATATACACCGAATTAATCACCTTGAATTAAACCCAAGTCCCTCTCCTATTTCCACTCCCTACATCAGCTGCAGACAACGTTCACCAGTTTGTGCAACTTGGATATAGAAGCTGGAAGGGGATTAAGGGTTTTTGAAGTCCATTAATTCGATGATGCCATGCTTATAACTCTCTCTTTTTCGTGAAATGATGCAAAATAGTCTTAGTTACATATCTGCACACTATGTAACAGAAAAAAAAGGCATGCGGGGAGACTAAAACATATGGGTGTATGCCGGTATTTATTACAACTGTTTCGTGCACAAATGATGGTCGTATTACCTGTCGAATCCTGTTATCCTGTTTCTTACATAGTGCAGGCATAACACCCTGATCGATTTACATATATAAAATAAATAACAAAAAGACGAATTGAGTAAATTAGATAAAATGAGATGGAATTAAATAGGAATTACAGAGAGTGTAAAAGAAAAGTAACTAAAAAGCTTTTAAAAGTAGTCCCACAATATACATGTGTATTCTTCAGATTGTCTGTTCTGATACTGGGACTATTCACTTAACGTCTCAGTGTGCATCAAAAATGAACTAGACTAGACAGCAATTTCGGTAACGGTAAATATTGGATAGTGGCATTTTGTTTCAATTTGTTTTAATATCCTGCTTTAAAGAGTGAAACAACGCGCTGAAGAAGTGTAGGCGCTGCTGAGATTTCCAAATATTTCTTTTTACTTCTGATATTTAGCGTGAATTTGAATAATTTCTAGTCGCAGTCGGCAGTTTTTTCTAGGATTGCTAGAAGACTTTCTAACCCTATATGTAGGTATAGGCCTATGCCTAAGTGTCTGTCTCTTTTATGTACGTATTTCTGTGCGAGATTCGTCAAGTACTGGAGCCCTAAATTAAGAAGGTACAGGCCCCTATCCAGCAAATTCAAATTTTTTTTTCTGAAAAAGTGACCCTTTTACAATGAAACTTATGTGTACCTAGATCAGATTTTACCCCAAATGGACCTTTTCCTGACAAAAAGGGTGGTTCTTTCGAACCCTCCCCCCCCCCCCGAACCCCCCTTGCTACGGGCCTGAGGTAAATTATCAGTATTCGACTACACAAGTTCACTTCACTTCAATTTTTGCCCATTTCTTTATATCTGCTTGCGTTTATTATCATTTTAATTCGCCGCAACATTATACCTGTAAGATAGCTAATGATATGACAGCTAAACTTAACAAAATTAGAGACTTCTTGCAAGAGCTCTGCTGGAGTACCCTATCTGCATGGTGAATGTCTGAGGAATTGACCATGCAGATGGGGTACCGATTTAGATGCTCTTGCACATTTGCAGCAAAACTTTAACAACAATATTCCCTTGCAAAAACCTGCAAACATTTTTTGCTTTGCATACTGTTTAGTTTGCAGTAAATTTACAGTAGATTTGCTGCAAAATTTTCATTTTGCTGAAGGTAGCCAGATCATTCTTGATATTGCATAGATGAAATATAATATTACCAGATTTCAGGACGTTAGCAAGAGTATTCCGCACAAACGTCGATAGTGGACACTCCTCAACATAGAAATTCTTCAGATATAATTCTGTATCAAACAGGTCGTGATATCTGTCTCCAGACACCGCCTCGGCTGTCGCTGTCTGAACGTTCATTTTTCTACCTTTTTCCACTGGAATATACCTTGACTTGGAATACCAGTATGAGAGATACCGATTATTAATAGTTTTTCACTACCAGAGGGCGAGATGAACTCTTCCAAAAAGGTTTCATGCGGGTATATATTCCAGAAAGTAAGGTCTTATGCTCATTGAAACTATACATTGGTCTACGTAGACCGATCCCACCTCCATGTTACTTTTGCTGAATGCATTCAGTTTAACAGATTTTAAAACACGCAGTGTATGAAATCGTTTCTGCGCATGCTCAAAATATTTAATCTCGCTCCTAGTAAGCAAACTCACAACAACGTTTGCCTGCATATTCGAGACGTATGCGACGTTAAACATCTACGCATTGGCAATATTTCATGCATTAGCGCTAGGTGTGACATTCTCTGTGTGTGCATGTGTTTTTGTGTGCGCGCGTTTGTGCGTGTGTGTGCTTGTATGTGTGTAATTGGTTTGTGGTTGCGTGTGTATTATCAGAGATATACGGTAGGTCAGTATACTTATACAGTCTGCTGTTTCTCTGCCATTCTCACACAAAGCCAAGTGAAATTAATATTCTTTTTTACATTTCTGTAATTCATTTTCATTTATTCTTCCAAGATGATATGAAACATATTGAATGGCATTGACTCTAATCCATCTGCATTTTGTTAGTTGAAATTTCAAACTGTCATTATTAGTTCATAACATATCTTCGTGGGTTTCAGTCATTTATAAAATATTCTCTTTAAGCTGAGGGACCTTTAACCCTCAAGTGACCGAGTGGGGTCATTTACGACCCCAGCCATATGATTTAATGTGCCATCTCTTTATTTTTTATTCGAATTTTCTTTCCTTGCATGAGTTTGTCAGTCTACTAATCCTACACACTTTCACAGTTTTTTGTAGGGATCAACCAATTAGTGTGGCGTATACATCAAAAACTCTTGTGGGGTCATTTATGACCCCAAAGAGAAGCATTGGTTTTTACATATTATTTTTAAATTTTATTCAAATGTTTTGCCCAAGCAACACTGACAGGAAAATGTCACATGCATGTGCTTCATGCAACCAGCCAGTGTGCCCAAAACATAGGCACAAATAAGTGGTTTGTGAAGATTGTGCTTGAAGTGTTACTAATAGTGAATCGCTGAATCTAATTTCAGTAGCTTTGTTGAAATTTGTTCTCATAACTGGGTCTCTCATTTTGACGGTTACAATTTTTGAGTATTTCTGAAATCTAAATAATTCTGTCGATATCATTTTATACATATATTAACAAATTATTTGTGTGGATTTTGTTTTATACACAGCTGTGGTAGTAACATACATATAGGTTGATTGAATGAGTTCTGAGTAGTATGACTTTCTTATCAGCATTAGGGTATTCCCTACTCAGCAAGTCAGCTAATTATTCTTATTGAAGTTAGCAGGATGCTATCTCAACATAAATCAAAATATTTTTACTCAAAGTAATTTTGTAATGTACTTTTTTCATTTAGTGTGGCAAATAAAAAGAGAAATATTTCTGCAAGTGGAAACTTTCAATGACTGTCTAAATACCGGTGTAATGTTGTTCTTAAAATCTGTGCTTGGTTATTTCATGCATTAAAAGTATTATTACCAAATACTTATTACATTAGATCATTATAAAATACTTGTCTTAAATCCTGGGAGTAGTATGGGTGTGATAAAGCCTCAACAGCCTTTTATAATAAAGATCTCTGTACAGAGCACAATGGGGTCATAGATGACCCCACTTGGTCATTTCAGTCAGTAAAATAGCTTGGTCTCTTGAGGGTTAAGCAGGCTTCAAAAATTGGAGGATTAGACAGCTTTTTTCTTGGCAACGATCATATAGACTCCACTTGAGTTGGCAAGATGGCCGCCCGCCGACTCTTCCCCTTCATACCACGATATCTCATCTAACCCAGCAGATTTCAGAAACCGGATGTACTCTTCCTTCTCCAAACTCCGCGCAGAAAAATGAACATCTCCCACAATATAGGCGCTCTGCCGCAGACTATTCACAATGATGAGATGGCCACCATCTTTGAGCAGTGGCGTCACATTTCTGATGACGTGATCAAATGTAATGTCATCTGAGCACGCAGCCTCGAGACAAAAAATACTGGTGACGCAATCGAAAGGTTTGCTCAATACTGGGTACAGTGGATTTGGGTTTCTGACGTCACACGGGTATATAGTGCTCATTTTGTTGCGGAAACTTTCTTTCAGAGCAATCCAATTTTCCCTAAAGTTACAACAATCATATCAGTAATTTGAATAATAAATATACCCACGTGATTTATGATATCATGTATTTCTTATCTTTTCAACTTGCCAGGCACAAAAAAAAAAAAAAAAAAAAAAAAAAAAAAAGATTGGAAAATTACAGGCCTACTTAACCTTTTCCCTGACCTTTCATACATGTATTTCATTCTTATAGTACGTGAACAAAAACAAATTTGTCGTATCAACAGGAGGTATGATGAACAAACCTGTTTCATCACGGTAAGCAAGTTTTTTATTACAATTTCACTTAAAGTAAAATCTTTCGTCATTGAACTGTTTTAACAAATTTAAAGGTTTATAAATGTCCTAAAGATATGCCATTTAGAACTAGCTAAATCATTCAATTAAAAATGGTATAGTACGTCAAAGTGTATGGACGTTTCGAGCAACGAATCTCTAGGATAAGATTTTTTTTGAATGAATTTGGCCTTCAATCTCGGAGAGAAGTTAAAAAAGTTAAACACTCACTCTTCTCCTTCTAAATCGGCTACACATCTGAAGGTTGAATCCCAGTCAAACGCCCCTGCCTCACCATCTCTCCATTTCCTCAGTGCCTCTCTGTTCTTCTCTGTGAAGTCACTGAACGCTAGCTCGTTAAAATACTTGGAAAGTATGACATGGTGCTTAATGGTTGGACCACTCCCTAAATCCAACAGTCTAGCTCCGCCTATTCTCCCTGACGAATATATGGATAAATAGATACATTATCAGATTGTTTTATTAATATTACATGTATCTCTTAGCGGTGATACATATAGGAGTATGGCAAACAAGTGACCCAAAAATTTGAGTGTTGCTTTCTGCACTACACAATTACTAAACTGAGACTAATAATCTCACATAATATGAATTTTAAGAGTTGGTGTAGAAGATAGGTACACCGAATTAATCACCTTGAATTAAACCCAAGTCCCTCTCCTATTTCAACTCCGTACATCAGATGCAGAAAACATTCAATAGTTTGCGCAACTTGGATATAGAAGCTGGAAGGGGATTAAGGGTTTTTGAAGTCCATTAATTCGATGAACCCATGCTTCTAAATCTCTGTTTTTCATGCAAATGAAGCAAAATAGTCTCAGTTAAATTACTGAATGTTGTGCAGAAGAATGCAACAGAAAAAAAGGCATGCGGGGAGACTAAAACATATGGGTGTATGCCGGTATGTTTTACAACTGTTTCGTGTACAAATGACGGTCGTATTACTTGTTGTATACTGTTTCTAACACAATGCAGACATGGCACCCTGATCGAGTTATAGAAGTCACGTCGGTGAAAGGAAATTACAGAGGTACTTATATGTTTATTATACAAAGGTGGGTTTTCAGTAACACCCGAATTTCAGGGTTTTTTTTGTACTAATTAATTAATTAATAATCCGTCAATAAATTAATACGTTGATTGATTGATTTATATAACTACTTTTAAAAGATGAATAAATTTTAAATTTACGAATAAAATAAGTAATATAAAAGGAGATTGACTCAAATGAAATACATAAAATTAAATGGAGTGTAAAAGAAAGGTAATGAAAAATCTATTGAAAGTAGTCACACAAGCACATATTTCTTAGATTGTCTGTTCTGATATCAGGGACTATTGACTTTAAGGGTAGAGATAACGATTAAGGCCCCTTTAAACTGGACGGCGTCCTTACTGCGTCCCTTCTGAGATCAAAAATTCGGTAAGGACGCTCAACTGTCGCCAAAGTAATTAAATCGTGTATTAAGCCCCCTTTACACTGGACGGCGTCCTTTTTGCGTCCCATAATACGGCCCTGATTGAGGGGGGGGGGGAGATAATAATTTACGTGCCGACAATATTGGCCGATCATTGAACGTTCATTCTGCAACCAAAGCGATTCTTGTGTCTCTTTTTTACGACCAGCGTTATGCCAGTTTCATGGTCAAAGGACGCAGAAAGGATGCTGTCCAGTGTAAAGGGGGTTTTAGTGTGAAGGTGTCTGGGTCCCTGTGCGTCCTATGAACGGCCTAATCTTGACCTGTAAAACTGCGAGCGACCTGTGCGTCCGATAAGCGACTTGTGCGTCCACTCAGTGACCTGCCTGCCTCCACTTGTGCAGACCGTGGGAAATTTTATTTGATTTTAATTGAGTCGCGGGCATGGGTACACACTCTACGACCTTTCTTCCTCCTGCTAGACCAATGAGCGTTGTTTGGGCGTCCGTCGATATATCCTGATTCTTTTATATATATTTGTTCATCGGTACTAACCCGGTCACCCAATTAAGAACCTCTTCAGAAAACAAAACAAAACATATAATTAGGAATAACCTTCATTTTTCAAACTACTGTAATGCAAGGTCTGCATGGACTGATAATAAGACAGATTACCATTGTTGTCCTTAATAAGAAGACGAAACAAGGCCGACTGACACAACATAAAGTTTGGGTTCGTTGTCAAAAGACGCATCCTGCAAAAAATGCAACAAGAACTGCATCTTGAAAAAAAGCTAAATATTCGTTTTATAATTACCTCCAAAAATGGATCTGTTTCAGAAAAAAATACTGCATTGAATCGGATTATGGGATAAAACGTAGAGTGCAAAGTTTCCTCTACGGCGGAGTATTTCAAGCGATTTGTAGTAGTGTAATAATTGAAAATGCTAAAGTGACATTAGCTATTTTACTGAATTTAAATTGATAATATTAATATTTCTCATTTTAAAAGCCATCGATCATTCATTCGTACTGTCTTAAGGAAACAACACCATCTTATCTTCTTTTTCCTTCTGTCCAGTGATACAATTTGGTACCTTTCCTCCCTTCCCGAACACTCTCCAATTTACCTTTTTTTTTTTTGCTAGATTTGATCGCAACTTGAGTCAATTTACTTTCTTTCTAGGAACGACCACAACTTGAGTTTCAATCAATACTGTAGAGTCGCAGAGACCAGAAATCTAAAAATTTACAAATTAAAAAAAACTCGAAATTCAAAAATAGTCCATCCATAGCATTTGGTTGACTTTGCTTGAATATAAATGTCAAATACACCTACTGTTTCTGTTTTGTTACTTATGCACAAACCTCATTTACTTTTGTAAACTTTCATAATTTGGATAACTTTTGAAGCGTCTGGTGCTTGAAGTGTCACTATCTTTAAGGCACGCAACATACATATATCTTCACACACGCCATATCCAAGACCGTTGGCAAATTAAAAAAAAAAAACTTTTAAATATTCGCTTTAGACTTCAAAGCGTCTAATGTTTGTGTGTGGTGGATTAATATTTCACTCCAAACGGAACAAAAATTCAAAACTGATTCCGCTGACAGCGCCGAAGTTTGCCAAAGAGAAGAGTTCGGCAGGATCCGCCCCTTTTCACGTCTGCGCGACCAACTCCATTTTCGAATTTCGTAATCTCAACTGATTTCGGTTGATCATTGTCGATCGATGGCTATGAATTATGCTTAACGATACCTTAAAAGTCAACGCCGAAGTAAAATCCCATAAAGCACAGAAGTAGCCAGTTTTGACAATTGCGTAAACTACCAGTATGAGAGTTTGGTAACGCAATTTCTTTTCCCCCACCGTGGTGCAACGTATATGTTCGACGTGTAACGGACTGAGTTTTATGATGAACTGTTGGCGAAGCTCTCTGCCGACTTCTGTGTGCAGCGAGACAAATATATGTATGCCTACCGGTACAGGCATTACTGTACTCTACATAGTCTATAAGGTCTGGCCTAAAATGCGATTAGAAATGAGAATGCTATTCCATTTTTGCTATTGTAAAAAAATTGGGATTGTTATAAATTTAAAAATGCCTCAAAGTAATTACTTTTTGGTCATATACATATACCTTGCCAATATGCTATGATTCGAACATTTAGACTGGAATTTTTTCCTATATCAATATGGTGAGTTGGCCAGCCAATAGGATCAGTCAAATTGACATCAATTTTTGCAAAATTTTAGACTTCTAGCACTCTGTTGCCGCAAATCTGACAAAATGGATATTCCATGTAAATAAGGTACTGTTTTTAATTTGAAAGTATATGAGGATTTCTACCAAATGTGCCATTGCAATTTTGCAGCAACAATTTTTCTTGCAACAACCAGCAAACAGCTTCTGGGAAACTGTTTGGTTTGCAGAAAATTTCCAGCAAATTTGCTGTAAACTGTTCTTTGGTAAGGGTAGCAAGATCATTCTTTGATATTACATAGATGAAACATACTATTACCAGATCTCAGGACGTTAGCAAGGGTATTCCTCACAAACCTCGCTGTCGGACGCTCCTCAATATGGAAATTCTTCAGAAATAATTCCGTATCAAACAGGTCGTGATATCTGTCTCCAGACACCGCCTCGGCTGTCGCTGCCTGAACGTTCATTTTCCACCTTTTTCCACTGGAGTGTATCTTGACTTTGGATACCAGTATGAGAGATAACGATTAAAAACGTTATTGATAGTTTTCCACTGCCAGAGGGCGAGATGAACTCTTAAAAAAGATGTCATGCTGGTACATGTAGCAGCAACTAAGGCCTCATTCTCAATGAAACTATCGGTCCACGTAGATCGATCCAGTTGCTCAGGGACTCTCGCTGAATGCCATCAGTTTAACAGAATAACACGCAGCGAATGAAATCGTTTCTGCGCATGCTTAAAATATTTTATCTCGCTCCTGGTAAGCAAACTCACAACAACGTTTGCCTGCATATTCGAGACGTATGCGAAGTTATCTGCGTATTGGCATTTTTTCATGCATTAGTGCTATATGCGCTATGTGTGACAGTACCTGGAGATAACTTTTTAGACGTCAGGAAAAGATTTACTTGCCAATATCTGGCCCTTCACAAAGCAGAGCAGGTTAATTAACAAGCTAAATAGTACAGATTCTAAACGCTTCGTTGAAGAACTAGGTCACATTGCATGTTTAAGAGTACGATTTCCACTTAATATCAATTAAAGGTAACTTTATGGCCAAATGAATTACCCTTTCTTTATGGTATGTTTTATATTAATAACTTTTAAAGAATTTAATAAATAAGTAAATGTCTTTAAAGTCTTGCAAGAAAATAAAAAAGGCCATTTCCATGTGTTCCTGTAATTTGCATACGCCGTCTCGCTTTCGACAAATCAGCTACAATTCTCTCAAAACGCCTTTGCCCCCTCCACATAATTCAATCTCTGAAAAAATTCACACTAATATTCCTCTGTTGAAATTAGAATTTTGACTAGCTGAATCATAGTAAGTTTTAAACAGTACCAAATGGTACCGTTTTCTCTTCAAAAACACCAAAAAATTCGGGGCCCTTGAGCTGGCACCGCGAACCCCACGCCAAGGGGGCGAGGGTTGGCTTCTTTTTCGAGGTATTTTTTTTTGGGGGGGGGGGGGGGGTATCCTGGGCCCTTCTACCCGCTCTTCGTTTTCTGAAAAATATAATCATACTAATATTCTCTCTCTTGAAATTACAATGTTAACTAGCTAAATCATAGTTCTAAACCGTACCAAATGGCACCGTTTTAACTCCAAAACACTAAATATTTTTCGGGCCCTTGGGTGGGCCCCAAACCCCACGCTAAGGGGGCCGAGGGTCGGCTTCGTATCCGAAGCCTGTCATTCCTTAAAAAAAAAAAACCTTCAAATTATCCTGGATCCGCCCCTGCATTTCCCGACACACTTGACTTCAGAGTAACTGAGGGTAGGACCGGCCGTTGCCGCCTGTTGTATTTCTAAAGAAAACAGAAAATGAAGACGACAATGGACATTCAGCATTAAGTATCAAAACAAACCAAATTCCGTTTTATTTCGATTTTTTATGTTACTGAATAAACACGTTCAAACACGTTTAAATATCAAAACATATCTTCAGAACAAGAAAAGAATTAATGGGAGACAACATAAGACTTAACTATATTTCACTTATAGACAAACTGTTCGTTAAAGCATTTAGCCTTCAATTTCAAAGAAAAAAAAAGCTGAAATGCACCGAACCTCATGAAATTGCAACACACTTAAAAAAATTAACAAAGCTGAAATCACATTCTGAATAATATTTACAGTGAGTAACAGTAAATCACATTCTGGATTTCATCTACAGTGAATAAATCTCATCATCGCATTCCACATTCAAAAGGCAAAATAAACTGAAGAGCACTTTATAGTTAAGGCAAGTTGTTGTGCAGGTTAGGCCTAATTCATATTGGCCCTAAAGTAATATCGCTGTATGAGAATAGAGTGCGCTTGGTTTATATACCTGTAGGCCTACATGTCTGAAAGCCTAAGGCATAACTCATAATTACAGTCAACATTTGAAATGGTGAAGATTGTGCCGTGCGCGCGACAATTTGGAAAGGAAGTCGCAAAGGGGGTGGTGCACTTTGCAGGTTTTGTCCTCTTAAAACATACATTTTACATATCTATCCATGTCACCAAATCGGTGACCCCTCAAGATAGGGAAATTTGTTAAGGATGAGATGTGTGCTCGTGCACGTAGGCCTTTTAATTAGCCTACTACTCCATTTTTGGATGCAGGAAATGAAAAAGGAGACACTACGTAATGTATGTGTGTGTCATTGTTTTATGCTTGATTTGCCTATAAATTAATAATACAAAATTATTTTTTAAGAGCATCACCATTGTTATGATACCTTAGGAAACTTATACCCCATGCACTCCAGATCTTTGAGCCAAGCGTCAATAATTCGAACGTCCAACGACTCAATAAAAGTCGTTTCATACAGCGCGACATACAACTCCTTCGTTTCGTGCGCAATGTTTCCACCTCGTGAGGGTTTCCAGCTTTGTAAGAACTCCGCTAACTGAGTCGATTTAAAATACAAATCCCATTCCGCGTAAAAATCAGCCAACCAGTTGTGTGCGTTCCGTATCTGCGTCACCCATGGCGAAGCGAAAACAAGGCTACGTTTGATATCCCATAATAGTCTGACGGTGAAATATGCGCGCCAAATATCTGTTACTCTCCCCGTCACTGTAATGGGCAAATACATAGCGAAGAATGTATCATAGGTGTGTAGGGTAGCCTGGGCGTTGTATGGCACCATAATACCATAAGGGACGGCGTAGTATTCATTTCCCTGTCGGAAACCAAAGGGCAGTGGCTGGGTTAGCCGATAGAGGGCATCTACGTCGGGTTCGTGATCGGCCAGCGATTGGATAATTCCGATATTTGTGTTGGGCAGCTGGTCAGTTACTGATTGCGTTTTGGTGGCGTTGTCTTTAATCTTCTCCAAGGGAAATCCTCTAGGCCAGGAGTCTTTATATTGGCTGAAGAAGGGATAGGGGTTCCACAAAGTTTTAGACTGAACTTTCACGTTTTTAACTTCAATCTTAGCAGGATCCGGAATAAAGAGGCTTTCCTTTAACTCGTTGTCATCATCAGTGTCATAGATAAGTTGTGCGCCGTGTTTCATTGCGTATAGAAACCCGATATTCTTTCGCCCGAAATGGTTCCAGGGGAGCAGCTTGCAAATGTTGAATTCGCATTGCTCTTGTTCTTGAACCGTCAGATATTTGACATTAGGGACATCGTACGTGGGGAAGCCTTTCTTGTCTGCTACCACGACGACACACCAATCCTTTTTCTTAGACAACTGGAAGGCTAGTTTGGACGGTTTAAATATGGTTGTAATGACGACCCACTTGTCGCATTTCTTCTCCGTTGGTGACGTGTGGAACGGGCTGCACTTGTTGTTATCGCGCGCGCCGTCGTCGGGTTTATACGCACGAACCTTAATAGCCTCAAACCTCTTCCCGCTGAGAGCGCCGAAGTTTGCCGATGAGAAGAGCTCGGCGGGATCCGCCCCTTTAACGTCGGCGGGATCAGGTCCATTTTTTAATTTCGAATTATTATCTGATTTCGGTTCTTCATTGTCAATCGATGGCTTTGAATAATCTTTGCGGATACTGCAAACATCGACACCGAGGTAAAATCCCACAAAGCACAGAAGTAGCCCAGTTGTCACTATTGCGTAAACTCTGAGAGTTTGGTAACGCATTTTCTTTTTACCCTCCGTGGTGCAACGTATATGTTTGCCGTATAACAGACTGGGTTTGGTGATGAACTGTTGTCGAAGGTCTCCGCCCACTTCTGTGTGAGAGCGTAGATCTTGTAGAAGTTACAGACAAGTTATGCTTGTAAATCTCGCCAACCTTTACTTCCTTTGGCGGCCTCGTAAATTCTTCAACCCTGTCTCAACCCAACGTCACCTGAAATGAGTAATGTTCACATTAACATACATGAGCAGGGTTATCCTGTATGAAAACGAATCAAGCAATACATGCACTTATACATGTCGGAGACAGTGTGATGACACCTTTACTTTGTGCAGATAGCACTGTCCCCACACACCGCCGTCTTATGCTTACCTGTACTAGTGACATACAGGTCCGTAGCCAGGGGGGTTCGGAGGGTTCGAAAGAACCACACCTTTTGTCAGGAAAAGGTCCATTTTGGGTAAAATTTTATCTAGGTACACATAAGTTTCGTTGTAAAAGGTCCACTTTTTCAGAAAAAGAACCCCCCTTTTGAATTTGCTGGCTACGGGCCTGAACATAGGACTTCACCGGTGTATTGAATTACAATTACCATTCCTGAAACATCAGTATGTCAGGGACCGCAGAATTGGGAAATAATTTGTTATTTACATTTTCTAATTCTGTGGTCGCTGACAGCTAGGCCAACAGACTGTATTGCTGGTGTACTACGCTCGCTATACCGTGTGTGTATATATATATATATATATATATATATATATATATATATATATATATATATATATATATATAAGGTACTTGATCAGTGACGACGTGTTTTATTACTACGGCTCCTCTAAAATGGCAGATTCAATGTGTTGTGATGGAGTGACGTGACAGAGTCCTCCATGATAATGAGTCCAGTTCTCATTAATTTTCATAGGTAAGCCTCGCCCTACGTTTTTATTCACTTATGTCTAACCTTAACCTAAATAATTAAATGGAGGGTGGGCTCTCTGTTACATGGGTCCTCAGTCTCGTCACACCGGTAGATATTTCTATTACGCTTCGGAAATGTGGTATTTGGCAGAGCTCTAGACAGCTGTTCGCCCGGTGAGCGTCACGCCCTGTTCTGTACTCATATTTTACACCAGACTGTGCTGGTGAAAATGTATAGAGATAAATAATAATAATACATGTACAAATGCACACACGCGCGCATGCACACACACACACACACACACACACACACTGCGTACACACACAGGATATATAGTATTATATACATTTATATATATATGCATACGTATATATATACTTACTGCAATATCAGCTACACACAAATCTATAAATCATCAAACTTCCAAGTGCATTGAAGTAAACCCTAGTAACGACAGCAATAATTCATAAACAATATTAAATGAAATATACTGGTATGTTGTTCCCTAGATCTGTGTGTGTGTTATGTAGACCTGCTTCACCACTAGCGCTATAGGATAATATAGACAACTTTATATAGACAACGTTATATATAGATCATTATGCTCTACTGGTGATGAAAAGGTTTCGTCTGTCACGTTCAAAATATGGCAGGGACCGTTTACAATGCATTTTGTCGACCGCGTCATGCGCACTCACTCCACGTGACCCCTCGCTGAATGCAATCAGTTGACTAACATGCCTCTTCCTGGTCGTTTTAGAGTTTGAAACAAGAGGGGGCGTGTTAGTGGTGGGGTTAGTGCGCATCAGCTAGGTGTACCAAATCCATTGTAAACGGTCCCTTAGTATTTTAATATTAAAAAATTTGAGTGTGAAACCTGCCGCTGACCCCTTCCTCGCCCCCCCCCCCTCCCCACACACCCTCTAAAATCACCGAACGTCCAGCTTTACAACAGAACTCGGGAGCAGGTGTTTGTAAAACTTAATTGAGCCTCTTTATCATGATAACTTTTTATCTTTTTGTCCAGAGATACATTTTGGTGTCTTTCCTCCCTCACCAACCGCTCTCAAAATTACTTTTTTTCTAAAAACTATCACAACTTGAGACTCAGGCCTACCCAACTACCAGACTTGGCACCGAATGATCCTGAATTCACCAGAAGATCGGACCACAATACCCGTTTTCAAGGTGCGCGTCTGGTAGTTGGGAAGGCCTGAGACTTGAGTTTTACCCAATACTGTAAAGTCGCAGAGACCAGAAATCTCAAAATTAAAACAAAAGCATGAAATTCAAAAACAGGTTGAAATAGTCCACCCATCAAATAAGGTTGATTTTGCTTGAATGTTTCATAATGTCAAATATACCTACTGTTTTTGTTTTGTTACTTATGCACAAATCTTTTTTTTTTTTTTTTACTTTTGAAAACTTTGACAATTTGGATAAGTTTTGAAGGGTGTTGTTCTTGAAGTGTAATTTTCTTTAAGGCACGCAACATGCGTAAGATCTTCATATAGCAACGAGAAAAACATTTTCCTGAAAATTCCAACGCCTTCTCCTCATCATAAAGCGTATCCAAGACCACTGGCAAATTTTTAAAAACATTTTCATAGACTCGCTTTTGACTTCAAAGCTTCTAACGTTTGAACACGGTGGATTAATATTTCACTCCAAACGGAACAAAAATTCAAATCTTATTCAAGGGAA